CCAATTCCAATTCCACAACAACACAAGCATCCGAATAACGTTCCCCCGGCGTCGCCAGAGTCTCTCTCTCTCATCTGCTGTTGAGATACAGTAACGGCTGTCATCCTTTCCACTGCTGGTGGCACAAATGCCGGTGCCGTGTTGCCCACTGAAGACGGTCTGTGTGGCCTGTGACAGTGGTGGTGCCTGCTCGTCAATCGTGGTGGCACGGTGTCGCTGGTGTGTACCCATGGCCTGTCGAGCAGTTTCTGCAGCAGTAACACAAGCGATCTTGAAGATGCTGTCGAACAATATGACGATCCTGACGTTGGGTGGTGACCATTGGTCTGCCACTACGTGGTCAGTCATCTGTAGTGTTTGTGGTCTGGTACCGTTGCTTGAGCCTGTATATGGTCCTTACGTGATCTTGAAATGCATTAGCTACTTGCCTGGCGGTTTTTCCAGCTTGCAATCGTCGAAGGGCTTGGTGTCGCTGATTTCTTGTCAACCTCGGCATGTGGTAGCAATTCAATAACGAATGAATGTTATCCGATCTGGGTGTTTTTTTATAGGGCAAGATATAGGGGAACGCATGTGCATTTCAATTAGCACGGAACTCACGTTCATGGGGTGTATCGGTTTCATTGACATCTACTTTGTTTTTTTATCATCAAATTTCATTTTTCCGGATAAGGTAATGTAAAACTTTAGAAACTTTGACTATAATTACCCAGATATTTAAATGACAACTATTCATGCCATGTTACTGGGGGTGACGTTTCTTTTGCGGTTCAGTCTATTTTGATCCAAATGAAGACAAAATCTGTCTCATCTCATTTTAAGTCATCTTCCACAGATGTCCCAGATGTCCCAGATGTCCCAGATGTATCAAATGTCTCAAATGTCTCAGTTGTCCCAGATATCCCAGATGTCTCAAACGTCTCAGATGTCTCAGATGTCCCAGATGTCCCAGATGTCTCAAATGTCTCAGATGTCTCGTTGGTGCCACGACACCTCACAACTCTGAGTGGCCAGACTGCCAGTCAGGTGATTGTCCAAGAATATAGAGCGTTCACAACAGGAAGCTTCCATTCATTTGACCTCAAGAAAGGCATTTGGAGTAAAGTGCCGAGATCAGAGAAGCCTCTTATCAACCAATTTGCCTATGATGCGAACAGGGGAAGACTGCTCTGGACGTTTGGCAGAAGTATAATGTGGGCTTACCGGAACAGACTGGGAAAAGCAGCGACCTTTCATTCAGAAAGTATGTATGAGCTTGTTAATGCTTTCAAGGACGAAAGCCACACTCAGTACAACGCGTACTGATTTAGATATTGTTTGTTTCTCGTTGAAGGTCCTATGATGCAATGACATGCATCAACGAAATCAACGAACTTTACCACCCGATCCATTTAACCGCTTCTTACGCAAAGTATTTGTTGATTGGGATATATCCCCATTCTAGTGCAATTTGAAGGGATGTTGTCAATATGTATCTTTCACATCTAGTAGCCCACGGTATCATCCGTTGGATAAAGTACCAATACACATGCCATACACTTTCTTTGCCTATCATTCGTCGTTCAAAGGAGTTATAAGTGTAACAGTAGAATAATCTGCAATGATTAAGAAATATCTTTCGTGTACTTTGAAAGATAAAACTTGCTTTTAGAAAATATAAGTGAATTATTTATACTGCTATGTATGCTTTTATAAAATGAAGTACACACTTATATACTTCAAAACTTCTTGTGTACAACTATACCTTTTTTAACACCTAGTCTTAACATATATTCCTGGACAATACAGGTATAACCCCATCAATATTTAACAGCTTACCCTATGTTGAGTGGGAGGGTGGTTACAATTCTTGACAGCTTACCCTGTGGTGTGTGGAAGGGTTTTTACTATTCTTGATAGCTTACCCTGTGGTATGTGAAAGTGTTTGTTTTTTAATTCGTGACAGCTTACCCTGTGGTGTGTGGAAGGGTTTTTAAATTCTTGACAGTTTACCCTGTGGTGTGTTGCATGATGGCTAAATTCTTAACAGCTTACCCTAGGGTGTGTTGAAGATGGTTATAATTCTTAACAGCTTACCCTGTGGTGTGTTGAAGGATGGTTATAATTCTTGACAGCTTACCCCATGGTCCGAGGAAGGGTTTTTACAATTCTTGACAGCTTACCCCATGGTGTGTTGAAGGTTGGTTACAATTCTTGACAGCTTATACCGTGGTGTGTTGAAGGATGGTTATAATGCTTGACAGCTTACCCCTGGTGTGTTCAAGGATGGTTACAATGCTTCACAGCTTACCCCGCGGTGTGTTGAAGGATGGTTATAATACTTGTCAGCTAAACCTGTGGTGTGTGGAAGGGTTTTTACAATTCTTGACAGCTTACCCCGCGATGTGTTGAAGGATGGTTACAATTCTTGACAGCTTACCCAGTGGTGTGTTGAAGGATGGTTACAATTCTTCACAGCTTACCCAGTGGTGTGTTGAAGGATGGATGTAATACTTGTCAGCTAAACCTGTGGTGTGTGGAAGGGTTTTTACAAATCTTGACAGCTTACCCCGCGGTGTGTTAAAGGATGGTTACAATTCTTGACAGCTTACCCAGTAGGGCGTTGAAGGATGGTTATTATTCTTGACAACTTACCCCGTGGTGTGTTGAAGGATGGTTACAATTCTTGACAGCTTACCCCGTGGTGTGTTGAAGGATGGTTGCAATTCTTGACAGCTTACCCCGTGTTGTGTTGAAGGATGGTTATTATTCTTGACAGCTTACCTAGTGGTGTGTTGAAGGATGGTTACAATTCTTCACAGCTTACCCTGTGGTGTGTTGATGGATGGTTACAATTCTTGACCACTTACCCTATGGTGTGTTGAAGGATGGTTACAATTCTTGACAGCTTACCTCATGTTGTGTTGAAGGATGGTTATTATTCTTGACAGCTTACCCAGTGGTGTGTTGAAGGATGGTTACAATTCTTCACAGCTTACCCCGTGGTGTGTTGAAGTATGGTTATAATACTTGTCAGCTTACCCTGTGGCGTTTGCAGGATGGTTACAATTCTTGACAGCTTACACCGTGGTGTGTTGAAGGATGGTAACAATTATTGACAGCTTACCCCGTTGTTTGTTGAAGGATGGTTATCCTTCTTGTCAGTTTACCCCGTGGTGTGTTAAAGGATGATTATAATTCTTGACAGCTTACCCAGTGGTGTGTTCAAGGATGGTTACAATTCTTGACAGCTTACCCCGTGGTGTGTTGAAGGATGGTTACAATTCTTCACAGCTTACCCCGTGGTGTGTTGAAGGATGGTTATCCTCCTTGACAGTTTACCCCGTGGTGTGTTAAAGGATGGTTATAATTCTTGACAGCTTAACCCGTGGAGTGTGTGGAAGGGTGGTTACAATTCTTGACATCTTATCCTCAGGTCATCGAATAATTGTTAGAAACTATGATATCTTACCTTGGGTGTTTGGAAGGGTTGTTACTATATGTGACATCTAAACCGGGTGGTGTGAAGGGGTTACATTTACCTCTTGTGGCGTAGAATGGGTGTTTATCCGTGTGACAGAACTATGTCACATCTTCACATGGTGGTGTGGAAGTGTGGTTAAACTATGATAATCTTAGCCTGGCGGTGTGGAAGGGTGGTTAAACTATGAGACATCTTAGCCTGGTAGTGGAGAAGGGTGGTTTAACTATGTGACATTTAACTCTGGTGGTACGGAAGGGGGATTAAACTGTGTGACATCTGACCCAGGTGGTGTGTAAGGGTGGTTACACTGTGTGACATATTAGCGTGATGGTGTTTAAGGGTGATTAAACTGTGTGACATTTAACTCTGGTGGTGTGTAAGGGTGGTTACACTGTATGACATCTTAGCATGATGGTGTTAAAGGGTGATTTAACTGTGTGACATTTAACTCGGGTGGTGTGTAAGGGTGGTTACACTCTGAGACATCTTAGCTTGATGGTGTTTAAGGGTGATTTAACTGTGTGACATTTAACTCTGGTGGTGTGTAAGGGTGGTTACACTGTGTGACATTTAACTCTGGTGGTGTGTAAGGGTGATTAAACTGTGTGACATTTAACTCGGGTGGTGTGTAAGGGTGGTTCTCACTCTGTGACATATTAGCGTGATGGTGTTTAAGGGTGATTTAACTGTGTGACATTTAACTCTGGTGGTGTGTAAGGGTGGTTACACTGTGTGACATATTGGCCTGATAGTGTTTAAGGGTGATTAAACTGTGTGACATTTAACTCTGGTGGTGTGTAAGGGTGGTTACACTGTGTGACATTTAACTCTGGTGGTGTGTAAGGGTGATTAAACTGTGGGACATTTTACTCGGGTGGTGTGTAAGGGTGGTTTTCACTCTGTGACATATTAGCGTGATAGTGTTTAAGGGTGATTTAACTGTGTGACATTTAACTCTGGTGGTGTGTAAGGGTGGTTACACTCTGTGACATATAAGCGCGATGGTGTTTAAGGGTGGTTATAATATGAGACTTCTTACTCTGGTGGTGTGTAAGGGTGGTTACAATATGTGACATCTTACTCTGGTGGTGTGAAAGTGATGTTAAAATAAGTGATATCCTAGCCTAGTGGAGTAGAAGGATAGTTACAATATGTGACATCTTAGCCTGGTGGTGAGGAGTTAGTCTATGTGACATCTTACTCTGGTGGTATTGAAGAACGGTTACAATATGTGACATTTTACTCTGGTGGTATTGAAGAACGGTTACAATATGTGACATTTTACTCTGGTGGTATTGAAGAACGGTTACAATATGTGACATTTTACTCTGATGGTATTGAAGAACGGTTACAATATGTGACATTTTACTCTGCTGTTGTGGATGACATGTGACACTATGTTACATCTTAGACTGTTGGTGTGGATGGGGGTTAAACCATGTGACTTCTTATCCTGGTGGTGTTGAAAGATGGTTATAATATGTAACATCTTACCCTGAGGAAGTTGACGATTGTTCAAGCAGTCATCCACTCACTGCTGGCACAATTCAACTCATTTATAGTCGTTGTGATCTATCTGGGATATTGATGACTGTTATATTAAAAGTTCACGCTTTTATATTACTAATTCTGGTATATTTGTTTCAATACATTTAAAATCCCCACAATAGCCATATTTGTTGATATATCGACGATGTTTCATTTCGCAGAAAGTCACATCTTTGGCGTTTGCATTGACACACGTGTGGACCTTTTGTTCTTTACACGAGGTGGACCTGTTTTTGATATCATGTCAACCGACCTAGGAAAGCCTGAACCGAGGATTGTCTTACAGGACAAAGCTCAGATATTTGACAAATATTCCAGTATGGATTTGGATACTGACAACAAGTAAGTTTTTTACATATATATATATATATATATATATATATATATATATATATATATATATATATATATATATATATCGGATAGTTTTGTTGTTATGATATACATGTACACAATGCTAGCTTGAACATGATTACCGGATATGACATGGAGAAAACTGTAGTGGGGTCTTCTTGGTTCGTTTGATTCTATTTACGGAATCAACATATTCAAGTGATTATTCGAGGGATTTATCGGACTCGTCATCAATATTAATAACAATAGTCTGAGGTCATCATAACGGTTTAATGGAATACTCTTGTACCGGTCTAAACCCGGTCTAATTCGATACTTATTAAAATGTTAAAATGAGCGAAAAATCATTCCGTTTCAATACACTTTGGCCATGTATCCAGTTCACCTTGACCTCAAAGATGTACACCATGTTTGCTGAGTTTGCACTTAAAGGACTACTCAAACACAAAATGTACAACAGTCCATCGACAACACCTGCAAAACAGACCCTGACAGTCAACCTACTAACAAGTGAAGACGCATGATCATTATTGATTGCGAGATAAATAGCTGATAGATACCTTTGACTCCTGTCACATGTGAACATGTATCAAGTTCAATTCATCCACCTTAATCTGGACCTGTACATCAGGTAAAGCGGTCAGTAATTAGGTAGTCAGAGTCAGCATGTACACAGTCGGATACGCCCTGTGTCCTTTTTTTCGTAATTAGAAAATATATCAAACAAACCAACAAGAAAACACTCAGGTACAGCTTCAGTTTTACTGAGCATGTTGTGTTGCTACATTTGCTAAATATCCCAAACATTATTCGTGTATTCTTCCAGGAGGTTGTATGCAGTCCAATTCTTGCTTGGAACAATACTGTCATGCGACTATGACGGGGGAAATAGCCATGTACACTTCATAGGATTGCCTGCAAGCACTATAACCTACTGGCCTAAAGGTACGCTTGTGTGGCCATATGTGCGCGACTGTTTCATTAGTATATATTGATATTGTCCTTACACCTCGTTGTGTGTTCGTCTTTTACACAATAACGAACAAAAAACTGATGTCTCCATTATATGATTAAGTAGAGGGTACACTGTTAGTACATACTGGGTATACTCAATCTTCTTATTTTCTTACAGTCCAAAAACTGATGCTTCAAATTGGGAAAGTACTATGGAGTTATGGACCAGATACTTTCCAGAAGACGGTTTACTATCGCTTACCAAGTTTCATATCAAACTTTCTCATAACTGAACAAGGGATCGTATTGTTTGGAAGGCAAAGGTAAAATGAATATTCGTTATTATGGAAACGTGTCTATTCGACTCGACTTTATTCTGTGTGGAAATTCCCCTACAATACTTTTCAATGGGTCGCGCGTTCGGGATATTGTAGTTTCTTGGTGTTTTGCGAACAAAATTTAAAAATGACTATTCAGTCAATGAAACTTTATGGATTGGTATTTCGCACGATCACATGATTTGGCTGTTGAGTATGGTCATTCATGCACATACATTCATCAACACTGGTACCGATATAAAGTAGTCTAACACATTTAGTAAGCCAACACAAATACTGTCGGCTGATATCATTGCAATGGGGTGCCTTTAAGGCTGATATCTGGCAAAAGAAATGAATGAATTTCCATTTTGTACTAACTCACTAAATTTCGTTCAATACTGGTGCACCTTCATGCATTATGAGCATTGCCTGTAGTTTTTTGTAATCGAACACTCTATATTCTTTATATTCACTCTATATTGTGCAAGGCCGTAGTTAACTTTTTTGACAGGGGTGTGGGGAGGGGGGGGGGGGGGGTATTTGTACATGTATCACTTGTCCCCAACTTGATTCAAATAAAACTGTTTTCTATAAAAAGTGTGTGTTTATACAAATGCGTTCTTATTTGCATTGTTCATTTTTGTATTTGCAGGTGCTTTGTTCTTTCGGAGAACAAGACGAGAGTCAAGATCAATGTAATATTCCCTCCTGATGCAGTGATTCACAAGACCATTATTATCTGAAAATAGGTGTCAATTATTCAAATCCCACTTTGTAATTACAGTGAACTTTGAAGTGACAGGGCCAGACATGTATGTTGAAACTGAAGCATATGATTGCACGTTTTTTCGGAAAATAAGTATGTTGTGTAACATTATGACACCTATATATATTGTTATGTGGCGGTAGACACTGTTGAAGATTTGTTTGTGGTTTTTGTCAGTGGCAGGAAATTAATAAACTACAGTAATAAATTCCAATTGTTGTCGTGGATAGTATTGAAGAGGTGAGTTTTGTACCATAGTTTTTAGAGTTGTTTTGTACATGGACGTAATAGACTTCATCGTTCGAAAAGTTTCTGGATAACACAGTTTTAGAGTGAGTGAGTGAGTTTGCTTTAACGCTGCTTTTAACATCATTCCAGTTATATCACGGCGTGTCAGCTTAATGTGGGAGGAAAGCCCGAAGTGATGCAGGTCTCAGACGTTTACCACTTCGGTGAAACCCACGAGCACGGGTATGGTGCTGACAAATCTTGAAACATAGTCGGGGCAAATCGGGATTCGAACCCACAACCATAGGTTTCTGGTGTGCCCAAGGAGCGCATCTCTGCACAGCGAATCTCGACGCCTTAGATGACTGGGCCACCCGTGCCCTCCACAGTTTTAGAAGACTGGCTGTACCTACTACATAGGATGGACAAGCCAGAAACGAGAGGCCTTTCGATTGTACTTATATCTGATCTAGTTTGGACACTAAATTAGAAACACCAAATTTCTAACACCCAAATGCGGACCAGGCCTCTTTCAAAACATTTAACAGTGTATATAATCTGGCCATTCGTGGCCATTACTTCTGGAGCCGATTACTTATGCTGTATTATGTTTTAGACCCATGTTATTATTTTTTATGCTTAAGGTTTAAACCTGAAACTGCCTGTTTAACTATAGATCATTGACCATTCATTGATCTTGTGTCGTCATTTACTGATTTCACTAATTTTGTTAAGTACTTACCGATTTCATGGTTAACCTCTGCGTCTCAATTCTAGAAATCACTGGGAGATTATTTTTACTTTAATATCTTTGAGAAGGGGGCGTCTACCCAGCTAACCAAAAAACATAAAAGTTCATGATTTTGTTTGTACTGAGTATGGTGTTACGCCACTTTAAACAATAGTCCAGCAATAGCATGGCGGGGGACACCAAAGAAGGGGTTCACACATTGTACCCATGTTGGGAATCGAACCCGGGTCTTTGGCGTAAGGAGCGAATGCTTTAACCACTAGGCTACCCGACCGCCCCTACTTTTTTGTAAGATTTTTTCTGTAATATGGTCTTTTTCAATTAATTTCTTATTTTCAAAACACCAAACTTTACATCCATATGAGAGAATAGTATTAGGACATCATCTTTACCACTTTCGAAATACTTATTTCGGAAAGGTTAAGTGCAGAACTAGATGTATTGGTAAATAATTAATATGAACTTAATGTCTAAAATGTGGAGACAAAGTTATCTAATGCACCGCAATGCTTTGTACGAAGATCCTTAATCCTTGGGAGGGATGAGTGTATGTCAGCCTCGTAACAGAGCAGAGTTCCTTAGTCGAGTTTTCACTGTATGCAAGCCAAATAACAGCACGGAGATCCTTAGTCCTGGGGAGTTATCCCTGTATGTAGTCGCCTTATCAGTGCAAAGTGCGTTAGTCCTGAGGAGTGATCCCTGTCTGTAGTCCGCCTAATTGCACTGAGTTCGTTAGTCCTGAGGAGTGATCCCTGTCTGTAGTCCCCCTATCAGTGCAAAGTGCGTTAGTCCTGGGAGTGATCCCTGTATGTAGGCCCTCTAACAGTGCGGAGTTCCTTAGTCCTGAGGAGTGATCCCTGTCTGTAGTCCGCCTAATTGTACTGCGTTTGTTAGTCTTGGAGAGTGATCCACGTATGTCGTCCGCCTAATTGCACTGAGTTCGTTAGTCCTGGGGAGTGTTCCCTGTTTGTAGGCCCTCTAACAGTGCGGTGTTCCCAACTCCTGGAGATTGATCCCTGTCTGTAGTCCGCCTATCAATGCAGAGTTCATTAGTCCTGGGGAGTGATCCCTGTATGTAGTCCCCCTAACAGTGCGGAGTTCGTTAGTCTTTGGGAGTGATCCCTGTATGCAGTCCCCCTATCAGTGCAGAGTTCATTAGTCCTGAGGAGTGATCCCTGCCTGTAGTCCGCCTAATTGTACTGAGTTCGTTAGTTCTGGGGAGTGATCCTTGTATGTAGTCCCCCAAACAGTGCAGAGTTCGTTCGTCCTGGGGAGTGATCCCTGTATGTAGTCCCCCTAACAGTGCAGAGCTCGTTCGTTCTGGAGAGTTATCCCTGTATGTAGTCTTGTTATCAGTGCGGAGTTCCCTGGTCCTGGGGAGTGATCCCTGTCTGTAGTCCGCCTAATCGTACGCAGTTCTTTAGTCCTGGGGAGTGATCCCTCTATGTAGTCCCTCTATCAGTGCGGAGTTCCTTCGTCCTGGTGAATGATCCCTGTATGTAAGCCCCATAAAAATATATAATGATCAAGCCAGATTCGAAATATATCTAGATGTCATCCAACGAGTCACTCTTCAGTTAGGCGTTGTTAAGTAGCTGTTGCATCGAACAAACAAAATGAAGCCCAACTGTGAATGATGTGCTAGCTCAACCCGGTGCACCACTCTCCATGTACAGGACATTAGACAATCCAAGTATTCTTCAATCTCGGGAAGATGCGTAGGAATACTTGATGGTCTTCCGATTCAGCTGTCTGAAGTCAACACACATCCTCAACTCGACCTCTTTCGTGCCAATACAACATGAGATGCCCTTGTGCTTTGAGAACATCGTATCACTCGTAGTTGAATGTGTAGGACTTCATCGTACATGGCAGGTATACGTCGGCGTCGCTGTCTGAAGGGGACATCATCAACGTGTGGTAACATTAGAAACTTGTAGTTGTATGAATCCAGAACTATTGTCATAATTGTTTACTGTAGGAGCTGTATCAAAATCTGCATAAATTGATGGACTTCCTATTTGCTGTAAAAGAGAACAAACTCTTGGACATCTTACTCCTTTAGTAGTCTGGCCTTTAAGTACAGACCGCCTCCGTGGTCTAGTGGTAGAGCGTCCGCCCGGAGAGCGGAAGGTTCGGGGTTCGATCCCCGACCGCGTCATACCAAAAGGCGTTAAAAGATGGTACTTGTTGTTTCCCTGTCTGGCGCTCGGCATTAAGGGGCTAAAACAAGGACTGGTCGGCTCGGTGTCAGTATACTGTGTCTGAGTGGGGTATTCATGTTAAACTGCGGCATGGTATCTCAGTGAGCTAGCACTATAAATCGGCATCAGTCCGAACTAGTACAAGCAGCCACACACACGTACATGCACGTCGCTATATAAGTCCAATAATCTTGGACGCGACGTTAAACCCCATTTCACCTCACCTCACCTCACCTTTAAGTACAGCGCGACTGTTCGCTGCCATGGTGACTCTTGAACTTCCAGCTTTGTATGCAGTTCAAGAGTCTCTAGTTAATCTTCTCACGTTCTTCTCACATAAGGTAATGATCTCAAAGGCGTGGTTCAGTTGCCACGATGAAGTATCTGGCACCATGGCTTATCGTGCAACCCTTCAAGAAGTGGGTAATTACATTTGTTCCATAAATCACAGGCACTTCCCGATTGCACTGTAGTAACGCACACGGAACAGGCTCACTAGTACCCGAACCGGTTGACCTTATCAGTTTAAGGTAATGTTTCACCGTCATTACATTCAATATTCAAAGTATCACCTCTGGAGTCATCCACAAACCCCACAGTCCTAAGAAATAGCAAGATCAGTGGCAGTGGGGTTCAACACAAGAGAGTGCCTTTTAAGACTCAAGAAGTGTCTATCAACGAATCCGGTTATTGGTTATGTGGATTACTCCCTAGCCTTTGGAGTGCACACAGATACCGGTGGACATGGCCTCAGAACAATAATAAGCCAGCAATAGGTTTACAACCCGGAGTGATTGATTATGCCAGCAGGGGACCTAGCAAGACGGAGCGTCACTATCCTGCCTGCAACCTGGGTGGTTGTGCTTGAAATGGTCGAATTCAGATTACCTTTATGGACAGAACTTTACTGAGCTGATGGATAACAATGCACTACTAACATCCTCAGGGGCGATCGGGTAGCCTAGTGGTTAAAGCGTTCGCTCGTCACGCCGAAGACCTGGGTTCGATTCCCGACATGGGTACAATGTGTGAAGCCCATTTCTTGTGTCCCCCGCCGTGATATTGCTGGAATATTGCTAAAAGCGGCGTAAAACCATACTCACTCACTCACTCACTCACTCACTCACTCACGCGTGCCAAGCTGGAAACAACACGACACAGATGGTTTAGCTAGCCTTTGCATCGTACAACTTTAACATTGAGTAGAGAGCAGGAAAAACGAATATGAATGCTGACGTGTTGTCCAGACCAGTCCTGCTGAGCAAACGAACAAGTAGATGTGATTTCGCAAGACACCGTACATACTATCTGCGGCAAAGTTTTACCTAGAAAACTGTTGGAAAGTGTTTGCTTTTCAGCAGATGTTTTGCCTGATGGAGAACTAAGCATCAATAAAGAAACTCCCAAGACCACATGACCATGGCTAATTAGTGACATCAAAATACATACACATATTGAAATATTCTGACTTCCCCACACAATGTTCTTACACATGTTGACTATATTATCACATTAGTGCTACTTTAAATACATATTTTACATACTGAACATAGAACTATCATAAAACAACAAAATACCAAGCATCCCAGCACGATCATAAATGTCCACACATTTGCAATTCCTTTACCATATACATGATAATAGCTTTATAAAAATATTCAAATACATGCTTGACCTGGAGAATCAGTCATTCACAGAACTTCACACATCATAGAAAATATCTGATTTACCCTGCTTCAATTAATATATTCTTATTTGTGATAGGGATATATTATAAATATACGTGTGTTAGTGTGTGAGTGTGTGAGTGTGTGAGTGTGTGTGTGTGTGTGTGTGTGTGTGTGTGTGTGTGTGTGTGTGTGTGTGTGTGTGTGTGTGTGTGTGTGTGTGTGTGTGTGTGTGTGTGTGTGTGTCCGTGTCCGTGTCCGTGTGTGTGTGTGCGTGAATATGTGCGTGTGTATACACTTAGTTGCAAACGTTTCTTGAAAGAAAAAAGTATCTCGATGCGTCACTTTGCTGATATCTGTCCATGACTTGTCAGTGTAGTGACTGAGGTGCAAGTGAAGGTTAAACAGCATGCAAAGCTATCCTTGAGAAGAAGCAAAGGGTCGGCCCCAAAACAGAGCATTTGTCCTGGCTGAAACCATGGGTCTGGCAGAGAGTGATTGACCCAAGCATAACTTGCTTATAATTTTAAAGGTGTAGCATCACCTCTTCATTAAAATCTTGAAAACCGATACTGCAAGCTAATACTTAAAACAAATTGCTAATAGTAATACTTATTACTAACTGCTAACAATAACACTAATACTAAATGCACTATGTACACAATGTACTTATAACTAAATGCTAATAGTTATACTTACAACACTATGCACTAAACTGTTATATCAATACCAGTACTAATAACTAAATGCTAATATTAATACTTATACTAACTTCGAAAATTTCACTATATGTTTTACTGTTGTTTCCGTGAAACAAATGTGGCTGCAACATATGAACCATGGATTTTAATGAGGCCCTGTTCTACAGTTACCACCTACATAAAAGGGAAAAAAACCTTTCAATATTTAAAGTTAGAAGGTTGACAACTGGAATACTGAAGTAATCCAACTTGTCATGCATTCTTGTATGCATGCTTCCAAAATCAGTTATCATTTTTATACCGCATTATACGAATGATGATTAAATAATTAAAAAACATACCTGTGTTGGAGCTTGTGTTTTGAGAAAATGGTGTGCTGGAAAACAAACACACAAACTGTAATGATCTTCCAAAAACAACGTCAAGATGTAAAACTTTGGTATGTGTGTGTGTGTGTTGTGCGTGTGTGTGTTTGTGTGTGATAAATGTGTGTACTTGGTTTTTTAATGATTTAACGTGCGTGTTTTGTGTGCGTGCATGCGAACTGCGTGTTTAATCTAGAGTACGATTTACACTTACCTTTTGACATTTATTCCTTCTTTCAAATCATAATGTTGATCTGGAAGAAGACATTATTTCATGAGTATCATCATTATTGGAAATATCAATATCCTCTGCCGCTATTAAGCGTTTCGTCCTCTACCAGAATTGATTTTAACGATCATTGGAATTATATAAATACGAAAATTGAAGATTATTGCCAGTTGTCCAAATGCCAATAAGATTAGATACACTTTTTTAAGTTATTGCACATATTCAATTTTAACGTTTCGTCTTGAATTATCTTTAATCTCAATACAAATACACACGGGCCGCTCTTCTTCTCCATAGGATACACCCGATGACCACGACGACGATGATAAGCAGAACAACCCCGGCTACTACCCCAACCACGATGTAGAGAGTGTCTGGATTACTGCCATCTGTAGATGGAGAAAGATAATATCGTGATTGATCAAGGCTATGTATAGAGGGGCGGTCGGGTAGCCTAGTGGTTAAAGCGTTCGCTCGTCACGCAGAAGACCCGGGTTCGATTCCCGACATGGGTACAATGTGTGAAGCCCATTGGTGTCCCCCGCCGTGATATTGCTGGACTATTGCTAAAAGCGGCGTAAAACCATACTCACTCACTCACTCACTATGTATAGACTGCTTGTTAAGTGTGAGTATTACTTGTGTGCAATGGGTGGAGGAGTGTTGATCAAGGCTGTGTATAGAACTGCTTGTGAAGTGTGAGTATTACTTGTGTGCAATTGGTGGAGGAGTGTTGATCAAGGCCGTGTATAGAACTGCTTGTTAAGTGTGAGTATTACTTGTGTGCAATGGGTGGAGGAGTGTTGATCAAGGCCGTGTATAGAACTGCTTGTTAAGTGTTAGTATTACTTGTGTGCAATGTGTGGAGGAGTGTTGATCAAGGCCGTGTATAAAACTGCTTGTTAAGTGTGAGTATTACTTGTGTGCAATGTGTGAAGGAGTGTTGATCAAGGCCGTGTATAGAACTGCTTGTTAAGTGTGAGTATTACTTGTGTGCAATGGGTGGAGGAGTGTTGATCAAGGCCGTGTATAGAACTGCTTGTTAAGTGTGAGTATTACTTGTGTGCAATGTGTGGAGGAGTGTTGATCAAGGCCGTGTATAGAACAGCTTGTTAAGTGTGAGTATTACTTGTGTGCAATGGGTGGAGGAGTGTTGATCAAGGCTGTGTATAGAACTGCTTGTTATGTGTGAGTATTACTTGTGTGCAATGTTTGGTGGAGTGAGCGACTGTGGCTTAAAAGACATATATAGATCAGCTTGTCAAGGGTGAGAGATGCCCACACTGCAAACAACCAGAAACCCCAGAACACGCACTCATCCACTGCACACACTACCTAACAGATCGAACCGCATTTCAAACCACCCTCAATCTAAACAAGGCTCTAACTCTAGAAGCAATACTAAACCCACAAAATAAACTAGAAAACTTCAAGGCCTTAGGCGTATTCTCAATAAAAACGGAACTAATAAAACGCATCTAAAAACACAATAACCTACCAAATCAAAATCACATAATCAAACAAACATCCACCATACCCAGCTCCCTTAGTTCTCCTCCCCAATCCCATCGGCATCTATTCCAAATCTCAAAATTCCCAAATTATATATAAGCAACCCCTAAACCCCCCTCTTGGGTTGCACAGACCACTTTCGCCCATTTCGGAAACACATTAAATGGCCTGACCGGGCCCGTGTGCGAAATACGCATCAGTCGGAAAGCGCACGTTAAATCTCCAAAGTAAGTAAGTAAGTAAGTAAGGGTGAGAGATTTTATGTGTGCAATGTGTGGAGAACAGAGTGAATACTTTGTCTATAAAGTGTAATGCTGAAAGAAGTCGCAGCTTGTATACGTGTCGGTAACATTCCACGTGCACGGTGCATACGGTGATACAAAACCACGAATACAGATCCAGGCGAGTCTTAGATTCATAGGAACTCAGCGAATGTTCTGGCTGTATCAACTGAATCATGTAAATTCGGAATCTGGTTTGTTAGACGTTGCTCGAATACACACTGGTGTGTTTGCCCTATGGGGCTTCCTCTTTAGAAAAGAGGCCTAGCAACATATGCAGGTTGTACGAGTCGACACATGGACCGGATGGTCAGGCTCCGTGACTCGCTTGATAGTGTCCTTGTATGCTGACGGCGGGGATCGTTGGTCACAATGTCGATGTGCGGCGTTAAATAAGAGCCAATTAAACACTGTTTCATTCTAATGACTTCTTGGAACATGTCACACACGAAAATTATATAGAAAAGAGATGTACAGAGATTCCTGAATTTGTTCTCGAGTGTGTATGATAAATAGTTGATATTATATTTTACTACTAATCACATGATCTTATTCGAACATTGTGTTATGACAGTACTTGCAGCTTATGAACGTAGATTTGTCATTGACATAAAGTTTGAGCGTGTTTCTCCTTACTGATAGAAAAAGTGTTTATCTATATGTATATGATTAGTGTACTTCTTCGAAAACAGATTTGGCAAAGAAAGCTATTCATTTCAGTAAGTTATATGTAAGTATTTACTGTTAATATAAAATAAACATGAAATAGACCCAGGTTCCAAATAAACCAAATATCTGATAATAACGAATTGATGGAAAATATGTTAACCCTGATGAAGAATGTTTGCGAAATGCACATTTGAAAGACAACTACCTTTCGTTGGCGTCACTGTCTCGGGATTGGATGTAGTCGCCAAAGATCGGGTCGCTGTTGGTGGTGACTGTGTTGACATGGCAGAACTTGAAACGTCTAAAAGTAGATTTATTACTGACTTAAAGTTTGGGCATGTTCCTCGCTGCTGGTGGGACTGGTGTCTATCTCTATGTATATTGGTGTTTATATGTATGTACATGATGAGTCTACTTCATGTAAAAGAGACTTGAAAGAGATAGCTATTCACGTCAGTAGACCATATATAAGACTTTTCTTGAATAAACAGTGAAGCTGAAAAAGACCCAGGTCCCAAATAAATCTAATAAATTTAGACAGGGAATCGTTTTGAGGTAAGGTGAAATGGGGTTTAACATTGCGTTCAAGAGTATTGCTACAATTAGCGACGTGCATGCACATGTGTGTAGGTGCTTGTACTAGTCCGGACCGATGCCGAGTTAATAGTGCTAGACAAATGAGACATAGAGGTGGTCTAATTGTTTGGTTGATATGTTAACGCTGATACACAATGTTTAAATACATTCAACATATCCTCAGTATGGCGTGCCTATTGGAAATAGAGCAGCTGCTACCTTTCTTTGGCGTCACTGTCTCGGGACTCGATGTAGTCGTCAGAGATTGGGTCGCTGTTGAAAATGACTGTGTTGAGATGGCAGAACTTGCAACGTCTGGAAATAGATTTATCACTGACTTGAAGTTTGGGCATGTTCCTCCTTGCTGGTAGGACAGGTGTTTATATGTATGTATATGATGAGTCTACTTCTTGGAAAACATACTTGGAAAGGAAAGCCATTTATTTCAGAAGACCATATACAAGTATTGAGTAAACAGTGAAGCTGAATAGACCCAGTTCCCAAATAAATCTAATATGTTTAGACAAGGAATTATTTGAAGATGAGTGAGGTTAAATTGAGTTTAAAGTTGCAATCAATAGTACTGCACCTATATAGCGACGTGCATGCACGTGTGTGGGGGGGTGCTTGTACTAGTCCAGACTGATGCCGAGTTTATAGTTTTAGACAAATGAGACACATAGGTGGTCTAATTGATCGGATGATATGTCAATGCTGATACACAATGTTTGAATACATTCAACATATCCTAAGTACGGCATGCATATTTGAAAGAGAGCTACCTGGCGTCACTGTCTCGAAATAAGATGTTATGTCCATAGATCGAGTCGTTGTTGATAAGGACTGCGTTGACATAACAGAACTTGCAACGTCTGAAAGAAGATTTGCCATTGACTTGAAGTTTTAGCATGTTCCTCCCTACTGGAGGGACAAGTGTTTTTATCTATGTATATTGATTACACTTCTTGGAACACAGACTTAAATTAATCTATTCATTCCAAAGTATTATATATCAGTAATACACATTGAAGCTGACATAGAGCCAGCATCCAAATAAATCAAATATACTGAGATAACGAATTGTTGGATATTATGTTAATCCTGATGAAGAATGTTTAAATACATTCAACACATCCTCCGTAAGGCGCGCCTATTTGAAAGGGGGGCTACCTTTCTTTGGCGTCACTGTCTCGGGAGAAGATGTTCTATCCATTGATCGGGTCGTTGTTGACAATGACTTTGTTGACATAACAGAACTTGCAACGTCTGAAAGTAGATTTGCCATTGACTTGAAGTTTTAGCATGTTCCTCCCTTCTGGTGGGACAAGTGCTCATCTGTATGTTTGGAAAACGTCTTGGAAAACAGATTTGGAAAAGAAAGCTATTCATTCCAGTTATATATAATTATTTTTCTGAATAAACAGTGAAGCTGAAATAGACACAGCGTCCAAATACATCAAATATATTCAGACAACAATGTGTTGGATATTATGTTAATCTTGATGCAGGATGTTGTAATGCCTGCTGCATATCATCAGAACGACATGCACATTTATGTACCTATGGCTTCCATGGGGTTAAGCCTTGAACCACCTGAACGATAGCTTTGTGGTATTTAAAATTCTAATACTGATTCGTTGACATAGATATCGTATAATTATCGTTGCATAGTCGTGGTGTGTATGGTAAAGTAGAGTCATCAGTTAGGTCCGGAACTGTTAAAGTTACAGTGGCCTTTATTGGAATACCTTCTACATACCTTCAGTACGTCATGCACACGTGAAAGAGAGCTACCTTTCTTTGGCGTCACTGTCTCGGGATAAGATGTTACATCCACAGATCGGGTCGTTGTTGATAATGACTGTGTTGACATAACAGAACTTGCAACGTCTGAAAGCAGATTTGTCATTGACTTGAAGTTTCAGCATGTTCCTCCTCACCGGAAGGACTAGTGCATATGTATACTGAACAACAAAAGTTCCTGTGACATTGAATAAGATTTAATGCAAAGTTATGTTTTTAACCAAACCTGAAACAATTTCGGTTTGCAACAGATAAAAGACTCCTGTAAGTGTTCATATGGTTTAATTTGCCATACTGAGTTCAGATAATGCGTGGTTTCATAAAAAATCATGAACATGTCGAAATGTCAATTTACAAATCAATAGCGTGTGTGTCCACCTCTGGTTGCGTCTCATGGAATGGACCAGGCGTCGCACAAAGTCCTGTGGGATATCTGTCCATATCTGCTGGAGCATGTTTCGATGTTCCTGGAGTGTCTGTGGAACACATGGTTGGCGTCGAAGGCGCCGATCCATCTCATCCTACATGTGCTCGATTGGTGAGAGATCAGGGGAGCGAGCCGGCCAGGGGATGAAATTCACGAGACTCGTCAGTGAATAGAATTTGTCCCCACTGCATGGCCGTCCAGTGTAGACGCTGTCTGCACCACAGTAGACGTGCTTGACGGTGGTTTCCTGTCAAAATGGGATGTCTGGAGGGTCTTCTGGCGACAATCCCTGCACATCTGAGGCGATGACGTACGGTTTGTGAAGATATTCGTCGAATGCCAGCGATACTTCTTGCTTGAATCGATTTTGTAGGTGTGTTGTTCGAATCCATTAGGACGGTCTCAGACTGCATTCGTCTGTTGCCAACGTTGCCATTAATGTGGACGTTAAAATGTCTTGCAACATCACGTTGACTCGATCCTACTTCAAGCATATCAATGGCTCGCAGACGTTCATTTTCGGACAGGCGTGGCATTTCGTAATGTTGAATAATTGCGTAATTTTGTTGTTTTTCTGAGTGGTTGTTGTCAGCACGATGCTAAACAATGCACATGGAATTCCGTTAACGCACATGTTTTTATACCCATTTTTGGGTAGTGAAATGCATGGGGCTTGAATAAAAGTCAACTTTTGCATGGAATGCATGCTTTTCTGTAGCAGTTGCGTTTTCGTGACTTAATTCCATACATGTACTACAATATTGAAAACCAAACTTTACACTAACATATTGGTGTCACAGGAACTTTTGTTGTTGAGTATATATGTCTACTTCTTGGAAGACAGACTTGAAAAAGATAGCCATTCATTTCAGTAGATCTTGTATAAGTATTTTCTTGAATAAAAAGTGAAGCTGAAATTGCCCGTGAGTCCAAATATATCAAAATAATTGAGATAACGAATTGTTGGATATAATGTTAATCTTGATGAAGAATGTTTGAATACTTTCTACATACTCTCTATACGACATGCACATTTGAAAGAGAGCTACCTTTCGTTGTGGTCACTGTCTCAGGAGTAGTAGTATCAACATGTCGGGTCGTTGTTGATAAAGACTGTGTTGACATGACAGAACCTGCAACGTTTGAAAGTAGATTTGTCAATGACTTGAAGTTTGGGCCTGTTCCTCCTAACAGGTAGGACTAGTGTTTATCTCTGTGCATATGATAATCATACAACATAGCTATTTATGCCAGTAGAGCATATTTAAAAAAATTCTTGAATAAACAGTGAAATACACCCAGGTTCCAAATACATGTAATATATTTAGTAAAGATATGTTCGAAAATGTGTTAATCCTGGGAAGATTGTTATTTACATTCCTATGCCATGTGCCTGTCACTGAAATTAGTCTTATTGTATACTTTCGTTTTTCAGCCACTATATCGCCATCGACGATTACGTTTGAGACAATTACATTATTGCTAAATGTATAAGGTAAAACACAGTGATAATGTTATACCCACCTATTGTATAATTGTTGCTTCTCGGGTGTATATCGTAGTCGGAAACCTGTTTCCCGCACTGCCACGCTGCTCCTTGGTCTGTGGTGGAGCTAAATGTAAACGTCATACTATGGGCCGTGGTACTACAACTCACATTGATACGGTCGATGATGTCATGACCATAGGCGAGTTCTTGCTTCACACAATTAGGGGTCTTTTGAGTAACGAAATTAGGTTTGTTGTTCTGCCACCACCCAATGTTTACTATAGATTCATCACGGATGCTACAGGTCAAGGTGAAGAGTTCTCCATCGGTTGGTGTTAATGGTGAGCTCGTCAGTACAAAATCACCTACAGAAGCAAAATAAACTTCAGTTTAGTTTCAGAAAAAGGTATCAATAAAGCTGTTTTGGTTGTTACGCAGCAATTTCTGTATAAATTCTCCTCAAGGTTATCAAGTGGGTCTCATCTTACATGCATCTACAACACTAGTGCAACTTTAGCTCAACTTATTCATTCGTATATCATTCAACATGAGTCAATGATAACCGCAACAACTAAGATGTCATGCGTCCTCATGTGATTACTGGACAGGGTGATGACGAACTAATGACATTTAATGTTAACGAGTCTTTTCATTATTACTTTTCAGGGGCGGTCGGGTAGCCTGGTGGTTAAAGCGTTCGCTCGTCACGCCGAAGACCCGCGTTCGATTCCCGACATGGATACAATGTATGAAGATATTTCTATTTAATAATAGCCTCGTTGTCCCTTTAACATTACAATATGCATTGTATTGTCAATATAGTGTACATGTTTATTAAGGAATGCACATCAACCATACAAATACAGATTGTACAACGACAAGTCAGTTGAACATTCGTTACATTAACATGTTGATAAGATGGGGACATTTTACAAATATTGTATAAGGAAACATGCGATATGTTAGTGAATGGATGTAGAGAAAAATGATAAGGGAATAATAACAAACTAACGGATCACGTTCCAATATCTTAAAATGCTAAGGGTAAGAGTGATAACGCTCGGACAGAGTTCAGGGCAAGTATCGCTGATTAGATTGATGATGCAATATAGTTTAAGACTTCAAAAGCTTTATCACTAGCTACATCATCAGTGCTGAAGAAACCTCACGTACCACGTATACATACGTGTGTTACAAATAAAAGCGACACAACCCTTTCCATATTGAATAGAAATCGATTTGAATGATACCGACTGTATCATTAGCATTGTGTATGACTCACTCTCAAATAGTGATGATACCAGGTATTCGTGAATAGGTGGGCGTATCCTGCCCCGACGGTGTCACCCGTCACAAACACATGCAAAGGCAAGTCAATTGTTCACTTGAAAAAACACACGAGACATATGGCACAAGTCAAAATAGGGAATTGCATCGAACATCAATTTTGTCACTGATGCGTCAAATTTGGAAATGTCCACATGACAACCACAAAACTGTTTGAAAGCTATAGTGAGGCCCTATACTGTTGTAACCTTGAACAAACAACTTCTGACAAGTAACTTGTCATCTATTTATCTTCACTCTAACCATCAGTATATATTATATAGCGTGTAAATTTTAGATATTCACTTCGTAATACTGTTGTGAATCATGCTTAATGTCATTTTCTGTTTTACGTTGGAATATGTTTTAGGTTAGGGTGATGTTATTAGAAAGAGTTTGGTGTATTGTACAATAAATAGTCAATAATATGTAAATTGTTGAATGCTGTCAAATAATTGTCCTGCTATGTATAATTCAATCCGTATCAACCGTTGTAAACCCTTGACTCCATGTTCATCAAATGTTCTTCGTGTGTATGTACATCAATTGATTATAAACATTACTTTACTATTGTTATTATTATTACTACTATTATTATTATTATTATTATTATTATCATTATTATTATTATTATTATTTTGTAAACAGTTTGTACTGTGTGTTCAAACAAGTAATTGGGCGGAAGTTTTTAGGGTCAGTCAGATCGCCTTTCTTTGGGAGAAGTAATGTTCGCCCTTTGCAGAACCAAGGCGGAACATCCCCTGCATTATTATTATTATTATTATTATTATTATTTACTGATTAAAATAAACAATGCAGAAAAGAGGGTTTGGGTGATCCTGGCACAGTCAGGCTGGTTAGGCTCATCATGAGCTCAGGGCCCTTGCCCCCTCTACACGCAGCCCAGACAGGGAATGGGACTTCTCCGTGGAAGCGCTGCCCAGTCAAACCCACCCAGAACATTACGGAGAATGTGAAGACTCCCTAACACTGCAGCCTTCTGCATTACCCCGATTGTCAGAGAGGCTGTATTCCTGGAAACAAACCCGGGTACTCTCCCAATGTCAGTCAACAGATTGGGAGGTACCAAACCTAAGGCACCGAGAACAATGGGGAGTCGGACAACTTGGTACTTGGGATGCAAGCGAGACATTTCGAAAGCGAGGTCCGCATATTTGCCATGTTTTCCCTGAATCTTGTCAATCACATTAGTGGCAAAAGGGACAGAAAATTCAATGATATAAATGATTTCATTGGATTTATCAAAAAGGACAAGATCAGGTTTGTTGGCCTGGATATGTCTGAGGCTGTATACGGGCCTATTCCAAAGGATTTTGTATTTATCATTTTCCATTACGCCCTGTACATATTCCGGGTCGTACCATGGATGGACCTCTGTGTCAAAACCACAAGCATGGCGAAGACGGTAATGAAATGATCAAGCCACACTATCATGTTGCTAAAAATATTATGTTTGTGCCAAAGCGGGGCATCCACTGACAATGTGTTGGGCAGTCTCATTAAATGCATTACATAATCTACACTTCATATTTACATTTGATGCAAAATCACACATTGACGGTTTCGAGTGGGAAGTGACTGGTGCTGAGCAGCAAACAGAAAGCCTTCTGTTTCAATTTTCAGGCCAGTCGACCTCATCCATGTGAAGGACTCTCTGACACTCTCAACACACTGCACATAAACTGACCCTGGGCCGATTTGATATTGCACTTCGCTTGGTTGACATTCATTTCTGTATCGTCAAGCAGTACAGAACCATCAACACAATCAGTTTCGTCAGTCACGCTTTTAACAGTCTATGCGAACCGATTTCTGGGTTAACCTCTGCTATTCAATATTTTGAAATCACCTTGTAACTATGTGAAATAGTTTATGTATGTGTCACACGTTGTAGGAACTGTGTATGCACAAACATTGTACACATAATTTTAATGTAGTTAATGTAGTTAATAATGCAATCCTTTTGTAACGATTTAAAGCTTCCCATCCTACATTATTGTATGACTTCACTGTGTTCAGGAACTGCTTGACAAAAGTACAACACATAAATATAACCCAATGTTAACGCATTTTGTTAGGCATCGCTCATTCTATTGACACAGGGGATGAATCTCTTTATGCAACAAATATACCGGGGCGAGGTTTCCTTTGTGTTTAAAACAGATGTTTAATTTCAGTTACAGTTGCCATCTTTGCATGATACAATCAGAGTAAGACAACTGCATGACTGCATATCTAGGATTTGAAACAGAGATTATTACCCATTATTATATTATTTCCATATTGTAAATACTATTTTTAAGAAAAAAAGTTAGTAAGCGTAATACATGTTTGTGAAGTGATCGCATTTTCATACTATCTGTATAAAGGTCTACGGAGGTTTACGACATCAATAAAACTATCCATAGTATGTCAATATAGACTTTCCTGGTATCCTACCATTCCAAAGTCTAACAATGCGACATACCCTATTATTTATCATCACGTCAAAATATCGAATTAAATCAATGTGACAAATGATAAGCCTGTTATGGTGTTGTGTAAAAGACTCGGGGAAAGATTAGGCGTTCGAGACATTTCCGATAATACAGAAATATAGTGTCGTATCTTAATACGTCTTACAATATGAGAATCCTGGATGTAGAACCCGTCTATACTTTGTGGGAAGTCAGTGCTCTCACTAATATGCACATTCATACTTGCCATTAACATGATCCGCTCTGTGAACAACCCCTATCCACATCCATATCAGTATATTCCACCAGGTCTTCATTGTAGCGCCACACTGCCCAGTTTATATCCTTCAAACACAACTTGTGATGTGTCAGGCTGAATTGAAGTATCCACTTCTCACACTTAGAAAGAAACAGAAGGTCGTCAGCAGCACATATAACCCTCTTCTACATGTGTTCTCACAAGTTTCAATAAAAATGTTGCTTCATTGTCGACATTTATACCATCACTAGTATCGTACAGCAAAACTCAACTATATAACCAATGTGACCAGGATATGAAACGTTATTTCCGTAAAACCCGTTACAGTTGATAATCAATACTCTTTCCTTCTTACGCGATTTGCAGCTGACGAGTTTGGGAAGCTATATATGGCATGAATTCCTGTGTCGTTAGTTTGTAAATGCTCTCAGCAATGTAACATGTGCTCTCTCAAGTTTCAACCGACCACCCTTGTGTCAACATACCCGACCGGCCTGTTAGGTTACTAAACTTAAATACCGGTCTAACTTGTTTTGTTTTTGTTTCTTGGGTTTTTTTATACCAGCTTATCTCTTTCCTATTTACGGCTGTGCAAGAGGGGAGTTGACACGACAGGTAATGTGGCCTCCCCAGATAGCAGTCAGACTTTGGGCCAACGTTGGCAAAATATCGTTGGGCCAACGTTGTAACCGTTGACCAACGTTTATTTGCCAACGTTGGGGCAACGCTGACCCAACGATATTTTGCCAACGTTGGCCCAACGTTGGGCCGCCGGTAAAAATATTGCTGGCCGAACGTTAATAGCCAATGTTGGCCCAACGTTGAATTAATTTTGTTTATATTCCTCAACGATACGTCCCAGGCAGGATAAAATGTTGAATCTAGTTAAGACATCATTTAACGAGCAATGCATTCTGCAAGCTGAATTCACTTTGATTTCTATGATAATATATTCATGTGAAAGTAATCTACGGCACAACAGGAACAATTTACACGTGATTATAATACTATAGGTCATTTCTGTACAAAACAACAATGAAGGTTGCTGCATCTGCATTCAAACACGATCGCTGCCTGAATAAATGGCACGGGAAGGGTAACTGCATCATCCACCCTAATTACAGGAATCACAC